AGGTAAAGGGTGAATCGTCCATCAAATGTGGAAGTTGGGCAAGATGGAAACGTGGATAAAGATGGTTGTGCACAAATGATGCATCACCAACAACAACAACAAGAGTTTATGATGCATATGATGCAACTAATACGTGAAAGCTAACGACCACCTCACCCTTCGTACAAAGAAGTGGGAAAATGGGCTTTCCGAGATATTTACAAAGTCGTAATAGGATGTTAATGATGCCATAAACTAAACTTGGATGCAGAGGACCATTGATGTTAATAGAGAGGATTTTCAAAGTGACTTCATGCACCGACGAAGCCTCACTTTAAGCGTGTGTGAGTTTTGTTGTCGAACAATGTTAGACATGTTGTTCAACAGTTTAGCATTTCATTAGCACCTTGCATGTTAGGGTTCACGTGTAAGGGATGAAGGCTAGGCAAGGCTTCAGGTTGTGTAACCGGAGGTGGAACAAGAGACTCTAATGGAGTAAGTTGAATAGATTTGGCTAATTTATATGCTTAAACAAGATCAAAATATAGTGAAACATTTGTTCCAGGATCTACGATGTTTCGTAAGGAGTAAGAGGTGGTTGATTACTTGTTGCTAACCCAACGACAATATATTTGTGCATAATGGTTGCATTAATATGAGATGGACCATCATGTTTGATCGTGAATCCTTTTGTTCCGATGATCGGAGGAGATTACGAACTACGAAGTTGGAAAGTGAATGTGAATTTGCAAAAATCATAGGGATCAGAAGTCAATTCATACAGACAGCGACATAGTTTTATTTTGGAACCAGAAATGAGAGGAGGAGTTACAATGATGGTGGATAGTAGCTTTATTTACGGTTGAGTGGGGAACTTGCAGAGTTAACACTCCAACGCTCAAGTCAGTACATGAGGAAGAAAAGTGAAACGAAATTGAACTTGAAAATTGTTACCTCAATTTAGCGTGCTCTCTCTCTCTCTCTCTCTCTCTCTCTCTCTCTCTCTATATATATATATATATATATATATATATATATATATATATATATATATATATATATATATATATATATATATATATATATATATATATATATATATATATATATATATATATAGAGAGAGAGAGAGAGAGAGAGAGATAAAAGGAGAGAGAGAGAGAGAGGGAAATAACAAATTAACTATTTGTTAGTCGTGAAATTCGGAGAACTGTTGGATGCACTTGTAGTTGAGATCTCTTGTGATCATTAGGATGATAATCTTTGTGTGTTAGGCAGATTCTGGAAGAAGTGGGACCCCTTCTTGGTGGTTTTCCAGGGTCAATATGGTCGGCCCATAATAGGATTGATTACATCCCATATTCATTTTTAGGTGTTGAGTATCTCTGATATTTTACGAGTTCTTTATCGATAGTGGTAGTAGGTTACATATGACATATCTGGCCACTTAGAGAACTTTATAATGTAGTAAGAACTCCATTGAGATTATTATTTCAACCCAAATTTTTTATATTTTTTAGATGGTCAAAAAATGACAAAAATTGACTTGAAAGTCATGGAGTGGATGTTTAGTGGGATTTGGTATTTACTATTTTAGGTGGTGCATGTTATTTTGATGTATAAGTATCAATTATTATAATACCTTGTTTTTATTGGAAATCCACCAAAATCTATGATGTATTTCTTCCAGTCTTGATGAACAAGATTGATATCACCATACAATGACAATGAAAAATAAAATATGAAAAAAGAAAGAAATTATTTTTCTACAGAGTTTCTCTCTGCCCAAAAACTATGGAAAACTTTATTATTCACTTGCAACTGCAAATTCCATGAATACAATGAGTTGATTACACAAATAGGGGTTACTCCCACTATTTAAATATTTAGGTTAGCTTTCTCTCTAAGTCAAAAGCCCAAAACTATAAAAGCCAAAAATATCTATTTTGAAACTAAATCAAATCTATCTATTTTATATCTAAATCTAAATCTAAATTTAAAACCAAATCAAATATGTGTGTAACAAAGTGCTCCTACACTTCGACTCAATCTTTTCGACATTTCCTTGTTTTCTATCGAGCAAGCTGCTTCGACACATGGAATTACTTTCAACACACCATATAATTCATTGTTTCTAAGCTATTTATATTCATCATAACTCTTAGTCTTTAAAATACTTCGACTTGCACACCCTTTATCATGATGTCTGCAATCTGATTCTCAATTATATAATGTTCCAAGTTCATCTTCCCATCTGCTACTTGCTCTCAAAGATAGTGGAGCCTTATTTCGATGTACTTGCTTTGACCATGTGTTATCGGGTTCTTCGCCAGGTTGGTAGCTAATATGTTATTGATCTTCATGGTAATTGCTCCATGATCTTTACATGTTATCTCTTCGACCAAGTTCACCATTCATGCTGCTTGACATGCACAAAGAGAAGTAACTATGTATTCTGCTTCACACGATGATAATGCCACTACTGGTTCCTTTCTCGAACTCCAAGAAACTAGTGCACCACATAACATAAACACATAACCTGGTGTGGATTTTCGATCTTCAGCATCACTACACCAACTCAAATTAGTGTACCCTACTAACTTGCATTCTTTTCCTTTTTCAGTTGCAGGAAATAAAATACCATAGTCGAGAGTTCCTTTGACATACCTTAGTATCCTCTTCACCGCTGCTAGATGTAATACCTTTGGCTTATGCATGAATCTACTTACCATAATTACATTGTATGCTAAGTCGAGCCTCATGTGACAAAGAAATCTTAATGACCTAATAAATCTTATGTATTGGGTTGGATCGACATCATCTTCATCTGCATCTTTCGACAGTTGCAACCTTGGTTCTGCAGGTGTTAAAGTCGAGTTGTATTCTTTCATCTCAAATCTCTTGAGAATTTCACTTGCATATATTCTTTGATGCATCGTCAAATCTCTACTACTCTTGTAGAAGTTGATGTCAAGGAAATATGAAATATTACCCAAATCAGACATTTCAAATTCCTTGTTGAGATCATCTTTGAAATCTTCGATCTCCTTCTTATGGACTCTTCATTATGTTTCACAAACACAACTTATATGGAGAAACGAAAAAATTAAGAATTTTATATTATTATGAAAAATTAATGGGTGTAAATTAGATATCTTTTAAAAATATTTTTGCACACGTATTTCTAATATATCTGATCAATCCAACTCAAACCAGCTCGTTATTTATTGGTTTAATTCGATTAGGATTTTATCAAAAAAAATATGAAAATCCAATCCAAACCAATCTATATATTTTTTATCGGTTTGGGTATCAAATTCTCTCAAAACCGACCAAACCAGCCCGCGAACACCTCTAGTTAAATCAGACTCCAAGCTGATATGCTATTCAGATTCCGATTGATGTGGAGACAAAGTTGACAGAAGAAATACTTTTGGATATTTTTTCAAGTATCTGGGAGGTCCTATTTCCTGCGGGTCCAAGAAATAACCAGTGGTTACATTATAAACATGTGAAGTTGAGTACATTGCAGGTGCTTTGTCTACATGTTAAGTTGTTTGACTTATGAACTTATTGCAGGATCTGAAGATTAAGGTGAGCAAGCATATGAGATTGATGATTGACAATAAATCAACTATAATCCTTGCAAAGAATCCATTGCGTTATGGAAGAAACAAGCACATTAACACAAAGTATCATTTTTTGAGGAATCAAGACTAGAATGAAGTGCTAGAAGTTATGCACTGTAACACTCAGAAGCAAATTGTGGATGTGCTGACTAAAGTTGTCAAGATTGGACACTTTATTCATTTGAGGAATGAAATTAGTGTTGTAGATTTTAGTTAGCTGAATATGATTTAATGGATATTATTAGAAGTAATTCATGTTCAGAAACTGTTGTTAAGAAGTTGTGTTGTTCAGAAGGTAAATGCTTCAGAACCTTGTTAGGCGTAGCTGATAAGTTGCATGTTTAGAACCTTAGCTTAGCTTAGCTTTTAAGTTTTATTAGCATAATTAGTTTTGCTTACGTGACATTTAAATTTTGTGTATTTAAACAATTTTATAATTAATTTTTTCATAATGTAAATTGAATTTTTTCAATAAAAATTTGTTATATTTACTTTCTCTCTCTTTTCACTCTTCTTCCATCTACATCTTCATCTTTATCTTCGACTTTGTGTAATAACAACAATTAAATCGTAGAACTTCGTTAATTTAACTCATGATATTTGATTGATTTTGTATGAAAATTTAAAAAGAAAATTATTATAATACTTTAAAATTCTTTTGAATACTTCCGAAAGTCCAAATTCATTTAAAATTAAATTACTTTAAAATAGTTAATATAAAAAAATAAATAATTTTAAATCATTTGATATTGGATTATATATCTAACAAAACTCTAGAATATCGTAATGCCACCAATTTAATATTTGATGGTACATCATTATTTATATTTTATTAAAATAAACAAGCAACTTCATCACTATATATTCACTTTGTAAAAACCTATAATTAATATTAAAATTTAAATAAAATTATCTTGATATTTCTTATACATCTCAAAAGTATAACAATCAATATTTAATTTAAAGAAATGAAGATGGGATATACTTAGAATTAGGACATATATATAAACTATTAATCTATATTTGAGCCTAGTATGTATTTAGAACAATCTCTCGGATGTTGACTATTTTATTTTATTTTATTTTATTTTATGAAAACACTATCTATATATTTGGTTGCTATATAATTAGCAAAGGCGCAAATGATGGTTTAACATTGCAACATGATTGATGCTATAACCAAACATGGCAAACTTTGATGTGATAGTCAAATACTTAACACTTGTCTGAACCCAATTTTAAATGTAAACATGAAAGCCAAATATAGCATAATTTAAACCAAACAAAGTTTCACTTCACATTATTGCAAACTATCATAACAGAATTGTTATGTCATATTTTTTCAACCACATAAGATAACTTAATTCTAAGAAAGAAATTATCAAGAAGAAAATGGTGGCAAAGTTATCAATTTATTTGGTGTTTGTATCTGTGGTGTTACCATACTATCAAGTTTTGTGTCAAGGTAATGAATGGCAAAGTCTTTTAGACCAAGCACAAGACTATGGTATCTCGGGAGACACAGTTGCTGACGCTCAAAATATTATAGGAGATAGTTCTATGGAACAAGTTGCTGAGGATGCTTTGCGAGACGGATCATTGGCTGATTGGGTTATAGAAGCAACGTAAGATGATCATATCATTATCATCGATCTCTGTTATTTTCTAAATATATGTTTAAGGAACTTTAGACAGAACGTCTTAAATTTTTAGAAACTCTGTATAAATTATCTACCGTTCAATGATGAAAAAAATAACTATTCACCTTTTAATTTAAAAAAATAAATAATAATTAACCATTAACTAAATGTGAATGTTGTTGTGAAAAATCAGTGAGGATACAAACCAAGGAAGCACAACACCACCAGCAGAAGCACCAACAGGTCCTGAACTAGCACCAAATAATGCACCGAATAGCGATGTAGAGAATTCACCAAATTTGACTCCAAATGCAGGACCTGAACTAGCACCTTTAAGTGCACCATCACCTGCCCCTTATGCAGCATCTCCTAAAGCATGAGACTTGAATTGATTTAGTTGTGCAATAGATGTATTTTATATAGATTTAATGTGATGTAGATTATACAATAAGTAATTTTGCATGAAGGGTTTTTTCATCTAAAAAATATCTGTCTGTTTATTTTCTTTTTCATTTTTTTTTTTACATTTATGCTGCCAACGTTAAAAGAGTATCATAGTGATAACTATGACTTTGCACTTCAACCTTTAGACTTAAAAATAAAATAAATCATAGCGATAATATTTTTGAAACAAATTTATTCTTTATTAAAATAGAGTGTACAAGAAATAATATCAGTTTGAAATTAAGAAAAATTAAAGAATTTATAAGTGATGGAGAATTTGAATCTAATGTTTTAAACTTTTGAAGCATGTGTTTCAACTCTATAAAAAAGAAAACTAGATCACTTATATATGGAAGAGTTTAATTTTATTGATTTGAACTTTTAGATTATGGGTTTCTAGTCTCCACATATTCAATCGGACATCATTAGTATCTTAATTTACGTCTCAATAATTTTAATGATCCTTCTAATTTTTATATTTGATATTATTTAGGAAAGAATTCTTTTCGGGGTTTATTTTTTTATTTATGTAAATACTATTATAAATAATATTATTTATAACGAAGACAATAAAAAACTAAGGTATGTATCTTAAGAGTATAGTATTTTTTTAAATAAGTAATTTTTTTTTTGGATTTTAAGAAAATCGATGAAATATAGTTATAAAAAAATTCGCTTCAACATCTCTTTATTGCATTATATATATATTTTTCAATTGTTTAATTATTATTTTTTATTTGGCGTTTTTTCAAAATCCATTTTTATCTTCGTTAATTTTTGTATTAGTATTTACCTCGGCTATATGTCCAAGTGAGAGGTAATATAATTTGCATTAATAATTTCAAAATATTATTTTCAAAATTTTATTTTAATGTTTTATTTGATATATTTAAATCTCTCGGTTTTCGACAAAAATCGACGTGATATATCTTTTAAATGAATTTTCAGAATATGACACTATTGTTTTTTTTTATATTTTATATTTTTAATTAATACTATCACACCATTTTTTTATGTAAAATCGACGTGACACTTATTTTACATGAAATACTTCAGTCTACTATCTAGTTTCTAACTTTTCATTTACCTATCAACGCTCAGTCATTCTGTCACTCTCATTTCGCAAAAAACTCTAGGCGAGTCGATTTTCATTGTTGCAAAAAATCTTCAAATTGAAACTCTTCCAACATATATTCATTTTCGCAACATGTTTGTTCTTCACGGAAGCAGTTTATATATCATTGTTTTTCACTAAAATAGTCTCTTGATCATTTTGTTTAGGATTTGTACGTTAGTTTGTCTATTGATCATTTTGTTTCTACGATTTTCCATTTGTTTTTACTATTTATTTTAGGTTAGTCTCTTGATAGTCATGGTCGATTCGACAAGCACCTCCCATACAAAATCTGTTACAACCTCTGTTAATACAAAATATAAAAGAAAAGATATAGGCACCACAATGTATACCAAGGTGAAAAAAGCCCACGGAACTAGTGATTGATACCCTTTTAGAGTTGATATAGAAATCGACAGGGCTCGTTGAGGATTATGCACCTTTTGTGAGAGACACATCAGTTGTCCACCTAAAACCTTAAGGTGATAGATGAGTGGTGTGATCGGTGGATCTGGAACTGACTGTTTAACGCTGGTTCGCGAAATATCGCGGAAGCAAGAGTCGCCACCGTCTTTTATTTTCTCCAATATGGAAAGGACAAAAGCACAGAAAAATTCCTTATAGAGATTAGTTCTCGGTTCGGGAGGTAGATTATAGAAAGGGAAGGTGTTAGCACCCTTTCTATCCATGGTTATCCATGGGCTCTTAGATACTTGCTCATTTGTGTTTTCAAAATTGTTTGTTTGCTTTTCAACTGTGGGTTTAAAAAGTTTCTTTGAAAATTTCAGTTCGACTCTTGTATCAGTCCTCAAGAGTGTTTGAAAAGTTGTTTTTGAAAGCTTTTTGAAAAGTGTAGGTGTGAAAAGAAATTTTTGATTTGTTTTGAATTAGAGCAAGTATCTACGAGTCATCTACCTACCCTAAGGAATTAGTCTGTGTAAATATCCTTAAGGTAGTGTTATCCCACCATTGAGGGGTAGGTAGCACCACCATTGGAGGTGTTTGGGTCAATTTGAGGGTTAGGGACAGTGTGGTCACCGAGCAATAGTAAGATACCTTAGAAGCTACCCTTATGCCATTGATCTTTTGATTCCGAGGCAACCGTTTCGAGGCATCTTGTTTCGAGGCAACCGTTTCGAGGCAACTAGATCAATGGAACATAAGGACTCACTAAGACGTCCTGTACTCAACGACCACGTTTCGAGGGGCAAGGCAACAGGGTGATCACCAGAGCAATGGTAAGATACCTTAGAAGCTACCCTTATGCCATTGAGCTTTTTATTCCGAGGCGACCGTTCCGAGGCAACTTATTCGAGGCAACTGGATCAATGGAACATAAGGACTCACTAAGGCGTCCTATACTTGATGACCACCTTTCGAGGGGCAAGGCAACAATGAGGCGTACCCTAAGAGTGGTGTGTGATTTGTGTGTCATTTTCAGTTTATTGTTTGTCTTGTCATGCATTGGTGATCTACGTTTTGATTTTATTTTTGGGCATTCATTCTTTCATGTGATTGTTTAACAGTTAAAAGATGCGGGAATTTAAAGTGCGGAAACGATAAAGGTCCTACGCTATTACAAAGGCGCGGGTCTACATCGCCAAATTAATACAAAACCCGGTTTAAAATAAAATGTAGAAAGTAAATGCCTAATTAACTATTACAGGGCTTCGGGGCAAATACATCATATTTACAAAAAGAAATAATATAAACGCGCGAAAAGAAAATATAATCAAATGCGAGGGTATTGGACCCTTTAAAGGAAATAAAATGAAATTGTTAAATTAATTAAATTAAATAAAAAGAAAGAACTTATTTTTTCATGTTTTTGGATTTATGGATTTAAAGAAAATTAAATTAATTAAAAGTCAAATAATTCTAGTTCTAATTGTTTTTTTTATTTATTAAAGAAAAATTATCTAAGTTAAATCTAATTTAAACCTAATTGATTAATTACAAATATTTACGAAATTAATTAATGGTTAATAATAATTATAATAAGAAAAATAAAAATATTTATTTAAAAAGATGAAAATGTGCTAAAGACCTATTTTTTATATTTTTTAGTTATTAAAAAGAAACATTAAAGTTAATAACCTAAAATCAAAACTAAATTAATTATTGAATTTTATTTACAAAAAAAATGGAACCATTAATAAATTGAATAAAATATTTTTGTATTTTTTATGATTTCTGATTTTTTATATTATTTTAAGAAATAAAACTAACTAAATTAACAATTAGAACCTAATTAAATCTAATCAATTTTAATATTGCAAAATAATTTGGAGTTTCCTAAAATAAAAAAAAGTCCTAATTAATTAATTAAATTTAGAAAAAATGAAAATCTAAAATTTATTTGAGTAAGAGTATTTTGTGATTTTTTTGAAATAAAGAGAAAATTAATTTTGTGAATAAAAAGAAAATTAAATAAATTAAAATGAAATAGAAAAGAAAATAAATTCAAGGGGAAAAAAGAAATGGGCCTGCTTTTTGGTAGCAAAAGGGGGGTGTGGGTGGCAATACTGGGCCCAAACGTTGAAGGCCTCTTCTGACTTTATCCAATCCCATGCGCCTGCTTTGACTAACGCCCACGGTGGAAGGATGTGCCTGAGACGTTGGATTTGGATCAGTGGACAATCTGATGGCTGGATCTTACACGGCCATGGTATGAGTTGAAGCTGGACACACATGGAGTCCACTAGCCTAGTCAGCATTAAGTAAAAGAATTATCAATTGGAATGACCAATCAGAACACATGAAAAGGCCATGTCTGCGTCAACTGAGCCAAGCTAAGTCAACGACGCCGGAGCAAAGCTCCGGTCATCTTCTCCGGCGGGGGGCGATTCTCAAACCTGCGAAAACAGAAAAAATGAAGCAAACAAAATAGCCAGACCGAGTAATTAGGGCATGGCGATTCTCATGGTGAGGTTTTCATAGTTTAATATTGCCTGTCTCCATCAAAATGAAGCTTCACATAAACTGAACCCTAGCCATGGAGGTTCACGTTTTGGCCATGAAAAATCCCCAACGATAGCCCAGACCTGCTCTAAATATCCACTGGAACTCAAAGGTATGGTTAGTAAGGATTAAATCAAGCCATAATCAGAAATACGATCCATGGAAATTATGCAAAATGGATGTTCATATAGCTACAGTTTCAGTATGCATGGTTACATGAAAAGAATGTGTTTATATCTTATCTTGCCTGTAGATCACGATAGGATGGGTGAGAAGCCTTGTGGATGGCTGAGTTCTTGAATTCGATCTTGGTGCAATTCTTTGGAATTTTGAAAAGAAGTTTCTCTTGGCTGCCTCTCTCTCTCGTTTTTTTCTCTTGCCTTGTGATAGTTTTCTCTAGGTTATGTAGGTGATTCTGATCAGCATTAAGGCTCATCATACCATGCATTCAAGCTTGAGATTTTAACATAAACTCCCTTAACCAACTTTCCATTTTGAACCAATTTTTTAATTATTGCTCCATTTGGCCTTGAAACGAAATTGGTAGGTTGCATAATGATGAGTCAAAGTTAGTTAAGACCAAATATTCCTTTTAATTAAACTTTTTGATTTTTATTTGATTTTAAAGGATTTAAAATGAATTAAATCCAATAAAATCTAATAAAAATGAAAAAATTGATTTTAAATATTGAAATAAAAGGTGGGACACGTGGGAAGCATGGCCAAGTTAATTCAAGTGGAAAAAGTGGGGCCCTTTTGTCAAAAATGAAATTTCAAGGATAAATGATTTTGGCCATTTCACAAAAATTTCCCAACTTCTCCAATGCATATCTTGCTCAATTTTTAAGCTTTGATCATGTT